GTTTCTATACTTCTCGAACCATTTCTGCTGATGTCGTTGTTTTCTTCTTCTTTGACGTCGGGCTACGCTACCAACATCACGGTAACGAGAGCTGGTACGAGTCACAAAAGATTTATTCACATTTAAATGCTGGAGTGCTCTAACGATAGCCACTTGTGGTTTTCCAGCCAAATATAAAGAAATCACATTTTTTGGACATCGCAATATTTATATCAGCCTTGGGTTTGTTGAGCAAATCGACAGCAGCGGTCCACTCTTTCTGCTACCTTTACCATAGGTGTTTACCATTTGTAATAACGGTAACCCTCGAAGGCAAAAAAAATAGTACCTGATTATTTCCAAACCGTACTCATTTCAATGGATCCACTCATCATCGCATCTTCCCCCCGAACGGACCATTTTAGAGCGAAATGATCAATTAACTCATAGCAATTGAAATAAAATAAAATTGGCACATCATAATATTTATATCTGGTACCTGCCTATAAAATACCTCCATTTTGTACCTCCTATATACCTATAAAGGTATAAATGTAAAATAATTACAACTCTTACAAAATAAGGAATACTTCCCGATTTTCAACAAACCTCGTACATTGTTACATTAGAGCTAAGAAGAGTAATATCGGTCCATCATCTCAAAAATTTTAAAATCAGTGTCCGATCGTAAAAACGGGTAAAAATTTTGAATAGTAACATCTGTGTCGAAAAAGTCGAACTTTGTACCCAATTTCCTTCACTTCACACATCTCAAAATTTCTGCTCATAAAAAAACTATAGTGAAAAGATGGGATATATCGATCGCGAAAAAAGCTCAAAATTTAAAACATAATTCGTTTTTAAATCAATTTGAAGGTTCAAACCGACTTTTATTTTTAAAATTCGATCGATTTGGTAATCGTCACCAAACAGTTTGTACCAAAAAAATGTTACCAAAAAATTATAATTAGAATTGAGTAATTTCCAGAAGTTTCTTACCGATTCAACCAAAATCCGAAAAAAAATTACACCATGCCTTCCAAGTTCGGGTTCCGTAAAATATTAATTTTCGAAAATGTAGTGTCTGAGGAAAACGAAAATAGCTCATCTCGTGTAAACGCCATGGCAATTTAACTCAAAGGCTATACGAAGACCTGGACCTGTACAGACAATTTTCTGTCACAGGTTGTAGCATCCATTACGAACTTCAAATACGATATCTCAAACAATTTCTGTGAGTATTGTACCTAAAATCATCAAAATACCGAATATCGGAAGGTACCGTTATATGGGGGCTCTACGAAGAGTTGGACCTGCACAGACAATTTTCTGTCTTAGGCTGTAGTATCTATTTCGAACTTCAAATACCAAAATTGAAACAATTCCGCTGAATAATGTCGCTAAAATCTTCAAAATACCGAATATCGAGAGGTACAGTTATATGGGGGCCATACGAAGACGTGGACCTGCACAGACAATTTTCTGGCATAGGCTGTAGTATCTATTACGAACTTCAAATACCAAAATTGAAACAATTCCGCTGAATAATGTCGCTAAAATCTTCAAAATACCGAATATCGAGAGGTACAGTTATATGGGGGCCATACGAAAACGTGGACCTGCACTGACAATTTTCTGTCACAAGCTGTAGTATCCATTACGAACTTCAAATACCAAAATTGAAACAATTCCGCTGAATAACGTCGCTAAAATCATCAAAATACCGAATATCGGGAGGTACCGTTATATGGGGGCTATACGAAGATTTGGACCTGCACAGACAATTTTCTGTCTTAGGCTGTAGTATCTATTTCGAACTTCAAATACCAAATTTGAAACAATTCCGGTGAATCATGAAAATACCGAATATTGGGAGGTACAGTCTTATGGGGGCAGACAGACAGACGAACATGGCTAAATCGACTTAGAATTTTACGCTGATCAAGAATATATATACTTTGTTGGGTCTTACATGAGTATTTCGAGGAGTTACAAACGGAATGAAAAAGTTAATATACCCTCCATAGTATGGTGGAGGGTATAAAAATTAAAATTCGATTTTGTAAAATAGCAAAAAGGGACGTCTTTATGGCCACGCCACGCCACGCCACCATGTAAACCATTTCAGCAGATTGTAGTCAAAAAATAGTAGAAGTAGAACTTCCGAATTCCATAAATATTTCCGAAATCATTAATGACAACAAAATTAGGGTTTGGCCATAAAAATCGATTTCTGAACCACTGTGCATCGCACATTTAGAGGGGTGTGTGGTAAGGTCTTTTTTTGTATAAAAGACAGCCGGTATTTTCTTCCCAGTAGACACATCTTTGATAAGACCAACTAGACTAGTTTTAGATAAGTTTTACATTGTTTTTTCTCCTAAATGTTGTTGATCGTTTCAAATAGAGTTGTAATCTAAGATGTAACAATTTTCATTTTGTACATGACCCCTGACCTTTGTTCTTCTTCTTCAACAACAAAAAATAATGTGTGCGCATCTTGACTTTAATTTATTGGCTTTGAGTGGGCAGGCCTTGTCATTGACACCATGTTAAAAATTTGACACATCAAAAAAAAAAAACAAAAGAAAATTCGAGCTGTTAGGGATGACCGCCTTGGGAGTATCCTTTGATGGTATCAATATCTCGTCTATCTCTTTGCACGATATTGAGATGTCAAAAGTGTTGTAAAATTTGGAAATTAAGTAAAAGTGGAGGGGCATTGGAAAACAATGGGAAATCGATTTGTTAAGAAATTATCTAATTCTAATGGGACTTTGGTGTGATAAGAAGAATTGGATATTTATGATCTGACAAAGGACTAATAAATTAATATTTTTTTTTTTCAATGAAAGAGAAAAAGATCTATTAGGGTGTGGAAAGTTTTATTAGCATATGTCCGAAATTTCAGAAGATCTTTAGAACATCTATCTGGCGACAAATGCTGAACATTTTTTTCCCGATAGAAAAGCTTAAGACTAAATGCTTATGCAATGTTTATGGAATTTATTAAAAACGTAGTAGGATCTTCTGAAATCCAGCAGCATAAAATCAAATAGGATATTATCAGGCATTTTAAGTTTATAAAAGTTGTATAGTTTGTTTTGGAAGAAGTGCTAGAAGCCTTTGGCTGACCCACCTGAAATTTTAAACCAAATTTTGAAGAATAAAAAACTGCCATAGTTTTGTATGAAACTTTCGATTTTCAAACCCATTACTCTTTCTGATGTTTTTTGCGATTTATTTAAAAAAAATATTCAACAGCCTACAAGCCAAGGAAAGCGGGTTTTTGTAATAAATATTTTCAAGGACTTCCCGGCCAAAAATAAAACTTGCAGGTATTTTTGTGATAAGGTTATTTGGTAATTTCTCGTTCGGATTGAGCTATTAATGGCCTAAAAAGATGACATTAAAAGCAAAATGTGTTGGCCTTTACTAAAGCGACTTATCGGGTAAATTAGATACCAGATTTTAGTGGCTATTTATTCAGAATCGGTTTATAATCTGAATATTTTGTAATATTTTGACTTCGTGCTTTTAGACCCTAGGTCTCATTGGACCAAATCCCCTACAGGACATTTGGAGTCGATCTAGCGATGTCCGTCCGTCTGTCCGTCTGTCTGTCTGCTGGCTGGTGCGCACGATAATTCTCGAAGGGAGTATTCGATTTGATCCAAACTTGGTACATCGTTATATTATTGTCGAACTTAGATCGAGTTCGGATATGAGCAAAATCGGTCCACTCCTTCTGGTAACTCCCCTACAAAAGGCCCAACTTTTCAAAATAAAATATTTTACTGCACATAAGCACAAAGGGTAATCCGATTTTGCTTTAACTATGCAAATGCTAATATCAGCATTGGGAAATGGACAGTATCAGTCCACTTCATCAAGTACCTCCCCCACAAATGTTCAAAATTTTGAATAATTATATCTCTTATAAAATGAGATGTAAGAGTTCGATTGTCTTCAAATTACACACATCCCATTATTTCTACTAACGCAAAATCTACCGTGAAGCTGGTATATAACGACCCACCCCTTCTTGTACTTCCCCCACAAAGGGTCAAAAAACGCGAACATACCATCCGATTTCATTCAGACTTGGTACATCTCAATATTTCTATCAACACAAGATATGTTATAAAGATGTTAGAGATCGGGCCATTCCTTGAGGTACCTCCCCCACATATGGTTCAAGATTTTTAAAAACAAAACACTCAAAAAAAGCTAAATAAGTACCCAACTCTCTTCAAATTTCACACATACAAAACACAAGATCTGTTGTGAAGATGACATATATCTGCAAACCCCTTCTGGTACCTCACCCACAAGGGGTTATCTGACATAGAATACAACAGAAAAAATCCGTTTTTTTGCGCTAATCTTGCTAGGCTACGATTTGAAATAACTTATTATCAAATTTGATTGAAGCTTGAGAAAAATACAGTTTTTTTTAAGATAATGGAAGGTGCCAGAAACAGTGGAAAGCAATAATCCATAGCCGAATTTGACCTAGTTTAACAGATATATAATAGTTTTCAATTTTTGAGCGCACCTTTTTCTTTAAAATTTAAAATATCTTTATCGGCTAAGGTTTGGTTATAGCTCCCATACGACGGTACCAAATAAAAAACTTACCCAAATATTAAAAACTGACAGGTAAAAGTTTTCAATCACAAACTTCTTACTCATATGACTTTGTGGTCAAATGTTTCAATAACATTTTTGTTTTTTCCTGGAGAGATAGATTATAACTAGATGAAATGGTATTTTGCCCCAAAATCCTGAAGTGTATTACTTATTTAATTTATTGGTTCGTATGTACTTTAAAATCACGATAAAATCCATAAATGTATTACTCTTAATATTCAAATCATTTTTTTTTTCTAATATAAAAATGAAGGAGTATTAAGATTCCTCCATAAATTTTGGATCACTAAAAACATAAACATTTTTTTTAATAAAAAAGTGCAACTATTGAAAAACAAGCATGTTCATAACAAATATTATTTACTTACCATTTGACTGGCGTTTAAAATCCTGCAATGCAAAAAGAAACAAGTGAAAAAAAATTAAAAACATAAAACAAAAAACTTAAATAAATTTGTTTCAAATTCTCGTGAAAATATGAAATGTGAAACTAAATAAATATCCTCTCATTTATCTATTTTCCAGTGTTAAATTTTAAAAATTAAAGTTATTAAAAATTTCTGCGGAAAATTTAAAAATTTCGCAACGTTTCAACAATAATACAAAGTCGTCACAGTTGCCGTAAAAACCACTGCTACTGCTGCCGTCGTCGTCGCCACAACCGCCACCGTCGCTGTCATTCCAACCCGTCAAAATCATCCAAAACAACATCCTGCCGCCGCACTGCCAAATAAGCATCGTTGGAACCAAACCTCGTGATATCGCAAAAGACGCACATGGGCGTCTGTACCGAAGAGCGCCCTGTGATGCATTGGGTAAGTTGAGAAAAGTTCATTCGAAAGGGAAAATTATGCGACGGAAAAGCTTTTTCAACAAATATTCAAAATTAAAAAAGAAACTTTAGATCTGCTAAATTGAAAAACATGAATTATAAAAAAAGGTTATTTTGTAGAACGTTTAGTTTCCTTAATGTGAATTTTTTAAAGATTTTTATCCAAAAGCCAACAATTGTTAAAACTAGGATTTTTTAAAAATATTTTAAAGGTCTTTCAGATTTTCAAATTTAGATATTTTAAATTTTCTTTCAAACTAGCCAGCTCCTAAAAAGAAATGTAATGGACTTTTAGACCTTTTTTTGTTTTTTAAATAGTTTTTCCAAACAAGAACAAGAACCTTTAAATGTGAATTTTAAAAGAGTTTTTTTTCTATTCAAACTTAGTATTTTAAAGTTTATTTCCCTGAGATAATAAGACCTTCAAACGCGGACTTATAAAGAATGTTTGAATTAACTTTCAGACCTTCAAACGTGAATTTCTGAAAGATTTTTTTCCAAAGACCATCAAATCTTCAACCGCGAATTTTTTAAAGGATTTTTAGCCCTTCAATCTGGAATTTTTTACAGATTTTTTCCAAAGATCATCAAACTTTCAAACGTGGATTTTTCAAAGATTTTTTTAATAGCCTTTTAAACCATCTAACATTGATTTTTAAAATATTTTTTCCGAAGAGCATCAGACCTTCAAACGTGGAATTTTTAAAGAAGGAATCAGAACACTATCAGATCTTCAAAAATGGAGTTTTTCCAAAGACCATCAAATCTTCAAGCGCGAATTTTGGAAGAATTTTTTTAAAGGACATTTAGCCCTTCATACGTTGATCTTTTAAAGATTTTTTTCCAAAGATAATCAGACCTTCAAACGTGGATTATTTTTAAAGAATTTTTTCGAAAACTAATAAAACGTGGATTTTTTTTAAAGATTTTTTCCAAAGACTATCAAATCTTAAAACGTGTTTTTTAAAGAATTTATTTTCAAAGACCATAAAATCTTCAAACGTGCTTTTTTAAATGGTTTGTATGGACTTTTAAACCTTCAAACTTGGTTTTTTTCAAAGAACTGTTGATCTTTTAAAGATTTTTTTCCAAAGATAATCAGACCTTCAAACGTGGATTATTTTTAAAGAATTTTTTCGAAAACTAATAAAACGTGGATTTTTTTTAAAGATTTTTTCCAAAGACTATCAAATCTTAAAACGTGTTTTTTAAAGAATTTATTTTCAAAGACCATAAAATCTTCAAACGTGCTTTTTTAAATGGTTTGTATGGACTTTTAAACCTTCAAACTTGGTTTTTTTCAAAGAACTGTTTGAACAGACTTCCAAACCTTCAGACGTGGACTTTTAAGGAATAATTTGAAGGGACCTCCAGACCTTCAAACATGTATCTTTTGAAGAATGGACCTGCAAACGTAATTTTTTTAAAGAATGGTTTGAATGGAAACATGGATCTTTAAAGAATAATTTGAATGGACCTTCAAACGTGGATTTTTTAAAGAATTGTTTGAATGGTTTCAGACCTTCAAACGTTCCTTTTTTTAAGAATTGTTCGAATAGACTTTCAAACCTTCTAACGTCTTCTAACGTGGAGTTTCAGGCCTTCAAACGTGAATCTTTTAAAGAATAATTTAAATGGACCTTCAGACGTGCATTTTTTAAAGCATAATTCTAATGGACTTTCAGACCTTCAAACGTGATTTTTTAAAGAATTGTTTGAAAGGACTTTCTGACATTCAAATGTAATTTTTATAAAGAATTGTTTGAAATGACTTTTAGACCCCCAAAAGTGAATAATTTTTTCCGAGAACGTGCCTTTTTTAAAAATTTTCATCCGAAGACCATCAGATCTTCAAACGTGGATTTTTTAAAGAATTGTTTGAATGGTTTCAGACCTTCAAACGTTCCTTTTTTTAAGAATTGTTCGAATAGACTTTCAAACCTTCTAACGTCTTCTAACGTGGAGTTTCAGGCCTTCAAACGTGAATCTTTTAAAGAATAATTTAAATGGACCTTCAGACGTGCATTTTTTAAAGCATAATTCTAATGGACTTTCAGACCTTCAAACGTGATTTTTTAAAGAATTGTTTGAAAGGACTTTCTGACATTCAAATGTAATTTTTATAAAGAATTGTTTGAAATGACTTTTAGACCCCCAAAAGTGAATAATTTTTTCCGAGAACGTGCCTTTTTTAAAAATTTTCATCCGAAGACCATCAGATCTTCAAGCGTGGATTTTTTAAAGAATTGTTTGAACGGACTTTCAGACCTTCAAATGTGATTTTTTCTAAGGAATTCTTTAAAAAGAACTTTCAGAGCTTCAAATTGGGTTTTTTAAAGAATTCTTTAAACTGACCTTTAGATGTGTTTTTAAAAGAATTGTTCCGCGACTATCAGTCTTTCAAACCTATTTAAAGATTTTCTTTTCAAAGAACAACGTCGGAATTTAAAAAAAAAAATCAGGTACTTTCAGACAATTAAACATGGAGATTTTTTAAGGTTTTGAATGGACTATCCGACCTCCAAATGTGAATTTTTTAAAGAATTGTTTGAAAGGACATTCCGACCTTCAAACGTGTTTTTTTTTTTTCAAGAATTGCTTGAGCGGACTTACAATGTGTTTTTTTTAAGAATTGTTCCATGATTATCAGTTTTTCAAACCTGAATTTTTTAAAGAATAGTCTCACGACTATTTCTGTTTTCAAAGACCAATTTAGCTTCAAAAGTGAAATTTTTTAACAACCTTTTTTTCTAGGATTTTCAGAACGTGGTTTTTTTAAAGCATTTTTTAATGCACTTTCAGAGGATTTTAGAAGAAGTTTTCCTCAAAGACTATCAAACCTTGAAATGTCTATTTAAAAATAAAAAAATATAATTGACTTTCAGATCTTCAAACCTAATTTTTTAAAAAATATTTGTCTAAAGGCGACACACCTTCAAACTCAAATATATAAATTTTTTTTGCAAAAGACCATCAAACCTTTACTTTTGAAATAATTTCCAAAAACGTTCCGTACTTCCAGATCTTCAAACGTGGATTTTTAAAAGAATATTTTTCTAAAGACCACGTTACCTTCAAACGTAGTTTCAAATATTTTTTTTCCAAAGACCATCAAATCTTTACTTGTGAAATATTTTCCAAAGACTTTCGGGTCCCCTAAATGAATTTTTCAAAATTTTTACCAACACACCTTGAAACCCTTATTTTTTACATATTATTTCCTGAAAAACCTAAGGGCTTCAAAACTGGATTTTTAAAAATTTGACTCCAGAATGGATTTTTTAAAGATTTTTTTCAAAAAGACTATCAGACCGCCAACCTTAGATTTTTTCCAAAGACCATCCTACCTTAAAACTTGAAGTTTTTGACGATTTTTTAAAACATTTACAGATTTCCGTAAACTTTTAAAGAATATTTTTAAAGAATTTAAAGAACTTCAAATGATAATTTTTAAAAAAATATTTTTTAAATTATTCAACCTAAAACTTGGACTTTTTTTAATGTTAATTTCTCCAATCTGGATTTTTAAAGAATTTTTCCAAAAGAATTGTGCATATTTAAATATTTGTTATATATTTAACAACGGATATTCACGCATATTTTTTAAGGATTTGAAGGAATACTTTTAGAAATAAGGGATTCTTAATCATATTTTTGTCAAGGAGTGAATTTTTATGAGAATTTTAGAAGCATTCTTGAAGGATTTTTGGATACTCTTTCATTTTCTTTCACTGTCCTTTAGAAAACTTAAAATATGTATATATTTTGGATTTTTAAAAAGGTTTTTAAGGAATTTTAGCAATACTTTTTCAAGGGCTATCAACTCTGCAATCCGCTGTTGTTTTAATCACTATTAGAGCCCAAATTTATGGTTCTTCAGATTAATTTTTGGAGGTTCATCAATTTAATTTTTATTTGTCGATTTACCCATAAAAACTGCAATCAAAATTTGTAATCTTTCGGAGCAATATTTCACCAAAAAAAAAATGTCAATAATTTTTCGCTCTTGAAATTATCGACAGAAATTTGACGTCGATGGCTAGACCCCCTTGGGTTTTTTTTTCGTTCGTTCGTATATACTGTTTTGACATGCTAAAGACATCAAACAATAATTTTCCTTCAAAAAACGTTTAATCTTCAATCTCGGCAAAAGCTCTTATCAGCTGAAATGGGAATTCAACCAAAAAATGAATAGCATCAGAAAATGCCAAACGATTTTCGTTGATTCGATCGAACGAATTTCACATTTGAAATGCAATCAATGACTGAATCACTCACTCGCTGGCGGTTTGTTGCCACTGGCGCTGTTGTTGATAACATTGTAACCCTAGGAGTATCTCGGCTATAGGAGATTTTTTTCCTACGTTCATTCGGATGCTGCGGCTTATCGCCGAGATTAGATTGTGAATGCAACGTCAAGTATGAACTCGACTCGAAATGTGGAAGCCAGATGTATGAAGTCCCGATTTTTTGGGACTTTTCGACCAAAAACAAATTGGGGAGATTTTGAAAACAAATATAACAAACATGATATGGGCTGTGAAGTCCTATTACTTAGCCTGCATCAAATTGTTTTACTTTTAACAGATACAGGGTGAGGTAAAAAAAACTGCAACGATTTCTAACGCCATAATTTTTATTTTTTTTAATTTTATTGAATGAAGGCAAAAAATGTCGGAAATAGCATCAAATTTTAGAAAAAGTATAGATTTGTTCGAATTGGCCACTTTTGGCACGAAATATGGCCTTCAAACGACCCATGAAACCGTCACACGTTGCCCGAATATTGCTCTGAGGTATTTTGGCCCATTCCCGGCGAAGCGCTTATTTGAGTTGATCGACAACTTGGTATTTTTTAGTGCCAACCTTGCTTTCCAAAATACTCCAGACACAATAGTCCGACGGATTGGTATCCGGAGATTTTGTGTGGCCATTGTGCGCTGGAAATGAAGCATGGAACCTCATTTGTAACCATTCTTGGGT